TAACTAAACATAAAAAAAAGAAAAAGTATAAAATCAAGATCGAAAAATCAAAACTCGAGAAACCTAAAAATCGAAAAAGAGCAAAAACGAATTTTGTAAAATCGAAATACTGAAAATTCAAAAAATTAAAATAATTTTTAATCTAAATTTTTCCAGTTTTTCGTTTCTTCAAATTTTTGGATTTGCGATTTCTCAACTTTTTCATTTATTTTCTTTCTTCAATTTTTCTATTTAATTTTTCATTTCTTCAAATTTTTGATTTGCAATTCTCATTTTTTATTTTCTTTATTTTTATAATTTTTTGTTTCTCCAATTTTTCATTTAGTTTGTTCCTTCAATTTTACAACTCTACTTTTAGGGTCATTCTTCTAGATTTTGCAATTTCACTAATTTCCAAACTTAAATATTTCAGTTTTTCGATTTTTCATTTTTCGTTTCGGTTTTTATTTTCTTTACTTTTTCAAATTTTCGGTTTTGCAGTGTTGATTTTATAATTTTTCTTTTTTCAATTTTTGATTTGCAATTTTTCCAGTTTTCATTTTAAATTTGTAATTAATAGTAATTAATTTTTAAAATTGTTCACTTTTGCAATTTTGCAGCTGTAGAATTTTCCCATTTTTCAATTATTCGATTTTGCACTTTTTGGACTGTTAATTTTTGGATTTTTCATTTTTTAATTTCTCGATATTTAATTTAAAAATTTTTCAATCTTCCAATGTTAAAATTTTTGGACTTTTCAATTTTGACGATTCCATAATTTTTCAGTTTTAAAATTTTGGGATTTTCCAATTTTTCGATCGATTTTCAAGTTTCTAGATAATTTATTCTTTCTATGTTTCAATTTTTCGTTTAATCGGTGCTTCGATTTGCAAACTTTCTATCTTCCACTTTTTTGAATTTGGCATTTTTCGTTTTTTCCGTTTTTGATTTTTCAATTTTTTCCGATTTTTTAACTTTTCGAATCAAAAATGAAAAAATTGCATAACTGTAAACATAAAAAAAAAGAAAAAGTATAAAATCAAGATCGAAAAATCAAAACTCGAGAAACTTAAAAATCGAAAAAGTGCAAAAACGAATTTTGTAAAATCGAAATACTAAAAATTAAAAAAATTAAACTGATTTTTAATCTAAATTTTTCCAGTTTTTCGTTTCTTCAAATTTTTGGATTTTCGATTTCTCAACTTTTTCATTTATTTTCTTTCTTCAATTTTTCTATTTAATTTTTCATTTCTTCAAATTTTTGATTTGCAATTATCATTTTTTATTTTCTTTATTTTTACAATTTTTTGTTTCTTCAATTTTACAACTCTACTTTTAGGGTCATTCTTCTAGATTTTGCAATTTCACTAATTTTCAAACCTAAATTTTTCAGTTTTTCGATTTTTCATTTTTCGTTTCGGTTTTTATTTTCTTTACTTTTTCAAATTTTCGGTTTTGCAGTGTTGGTTTTATAATTTTTCTTTTTTCAATTTTTGATTTGCAATTTTTCCAGTTTTCATTCTAAATATGCAATTAATAATAATTAATTGTTAAAATTGTTCACTTTTGCAATTTTGCAGCTGTAGAATTTTCCCATTTTTCAATTATTCCATTTTGCATTTTTTGGACTGTTAATTTTTGGATTTTTCATTTTTTAACTTCTTGATATTTAATTTAAAAATTTTTCAATCTTCCAATGTTAAATTTTTGGACTTTTCAATTTTGACGATTCCATAATTTTTCAATTTTAAAATTTTGGGATTTCCCAATTTTTCGATCGATTTTCAAGTTTCTAGATTTTTATTCTTCCTATGTTTCAATTTTTCGTTTCATCGGTGCTTCGATTTGCAAATTTTCTATCTTTCACTTTTTTGAATTTGGCATTCTTCGTTTTTTTCGTTTTTGATTTTTCAATTTTTTCCGATTTTTTAACTTTTCGAATCAAAAATGAAAAAATTGCTAACTGTAAAATTGAAAGATAAAAAAAAAGAAACAGTATAAAATCAAGATCAAAATCAAAACTCGAGAAACTTAAAAATCGAAATACTGAATAATTTTGTAAAATCGAAATACTGAAAATTAAAAAAATTAAACTGATTTTTAATCTAAATTTTTCCAGTTTTTCGATTCTTCAAATTTTTGGATTTTTTTCAACTTTTTCATTTATTTTCTTTCTTCAATTTTTCTATTTAATTTTTGATTTCTTCAAATTTATGATTTGCAATTCTCATTTTTTATTTTCTTTATTTTTACAATTTTTTGTTTCTCCAATTTTTCATTTAGTTTGTTCCTTCAATTTTACAACTCTACTTTTAGGGTCATTCTTCCAGATTTTGCAATTTCACTAATTTCCAAACTTAAATTTTTCAGTTTTTCGATTTTTCATTTTTCGTTTCGGTTTTTATTTTCTTTAATTTTTCAAATTTTCGGTTTTGCAGTGTTGATTTTATAATTTTTCATTTTTCAATTTTTGATTTGCAATTTTTCCAGTTTTCATTTTAAATTTGTAATTAATAATAATTAATTTTTAAAATTGTTCACTTTTTCAATTTTACAGCTGTAGAATTTATTCGATTTTGCATTTTTTGGACTGTTAACTTTTGGATTTTTCATTTTTTAATTTCTCGCTATTTAATTTTAAAATTTTTCAATCTTCCAATGTCAAAATTTTTGGACTTTTCAATTTTGACGATTCCATAATTTTTCAATTTTAAAATTTTGGGATTTTCCAATTTTTCGATCGATTTTCAAGTTTCTAGATTTTTATTCTGTTTCAATTTTTCGTTTCATCAGTGCTTCGATTTGCGAATTTTCTATCTTCCACATTTTGGTGTTTTCCGTTTTTGATTTTTCAATTTTTTCCCTTTTCGAATCAAAAATGAATTTTGTAAAATCGAAATACTGAAATTTAAAAAAATTAAAATAATTTTTAATCTACATTTTTTCAGATTTTCGTTTCTTCAAATTTTTTTCAATTTTACAACTCTACTTTTAGGGTCATTCTTCTAGATTTTGCAATTTCACTAATTTTCAAACCTAAATTTTTCAGTTTTTCGATTTTTCATTTTTCGTTTCGGTTTTTATTTTCTTTACTTTTTCAAATTTTCGGTTTTGCAGTGTTGATTTTATAATTTTTCTTTTTTCAATTTTTGATTTGCAATTTTTCCAGTTTTCATTTTAAATTTGTAATTAATAATTAATTTTTAAAATTGTTCACTTTTGCAATTTTGCAGCTGTAGAATTTTCCCATTTTTCAATTATTCGATTTTGCATTTTTTGGACTGTTAATTTTTGGATTTTTCATTTTTTAATTTCTCGATATTTAATTTAAAAATTTTTCAATCTTCCAATGTTAAACTTTTTGGACTTTCCAATTTTGACGATTCCATAATTTTTCAATTTTAAAATTTTGGGATTTTCCAATTTTTCGATCGATTTTCAAGTTTCTAGATTTTTATTCCTTCTATGTTTCAATTTTTCGTTTCATCGGTGCTTCGATTTGCAAATTTTCTATCTCCAATTTTTTTTAATTTGGCATTTTTCGTTTTTTCCGTTTTGATTTTTCAATTTTTTCCGATTTTTTAACTTTTAGAATCAAAAATGAAAAAATTGCATAACTGTAAACATAAAAAAAAGAAAAAGTATAAAATCAAGATGGAAAAATCAAAACTCGAGAAACTTAAAAATCGAAAAAGTGCAAAAACGAATTTTGTAAAATCGAAATACTGAAAATTAAAAAAATTAAACTGATTTTTAATCTAAATTTTTCCAGTTTTTCGATTCTTCAAATTTTTGGATTTGCGATTTCTCAATTTTTTCATTAATTTTCTTTCTTCAATTTTTCTATTCTTTAATTTTTCATTTCTTCAAATTTTTGATTTCCAATTTTCATTTCGGTTTTTATTTCCTTTATTTTTACAATTTTTTGTTCCTTCAATTTTACAACTCTACTTTTAAGGTCATTCTTCGAATTTTCATTTTTAAATTTTTCATTTTTTCGATTTTCCAACTTTTGGATTTTCAATTTTTAGATTTTGCAATTTCACTAATTTTCAAACTTTAATTTTTCAGTTTTTCGATTTTTCATTTTTCGTTTCGGGTTTTTATTTTCTTTACTTTTTCAAATTTTCGGTTTTTCAGTGTTCTGATTGCATGATTTTTTTTCAACGTGAAAATTTTCAATTTTTGGATTTTTCATTTTCACGATTTTTCAATTTTTGATTTGCAATTTTTCCAGTTTTCATTTAAATATGTAATTAATATTTAATTTAAAAATTTTTTCACTTTTTCAAGTTTATGGCTATTGAATATTTCCATTTTTCATTTATTCGGTTGTCAATTTTTTTTCGACTAATCAAAAAATCTACATAGTGAAAATTAAAGAAATCGGAAAATTGGATAATTGAGAAACCCAAAAATTGGAAAACCGAGTAATTGAAAAATCAAAGATTGAAAATTTGAAAAACTGAATGAATAAAAGAAAATTATAAAATCTAAATAAACATTGAAAAAATAAAAGAAATAAAAAAAACAAAAATTGTGACATAAAATGGAGAAAATGAAGATTAAATATTAGAAAAATGAAAAATAAAAATCACGAACTTGAAAAATTGGGAGACGAAAAATTAAAGAAAATGAAAAATTGTGATATCAAAAAATTGTAAAAATCCAAGAAAAAACAAAAACTGCGATACCGAAAGGATCTAAAGTAAATAAATCCAGATTTTTGGAAATAGTGCTTAGAGCTTTACCAGACGATATTCCCAATTTACATAAAATTTTGTCAACAATCGGTCCAGTAGTTTTGAGATTATTTGTCTAATAAAAATCTGGACAGACGGCAGAATGACTGACTGACTGACAGACAGACAGACAGACAGACAGACGGAAACGGAGACCTATTTTTTCGTCCTCTAGGGGTCATGAAACGTCGAAAAAACAAAAGTAGCCTTCCGCTCAAGAAGTAAAATTAGCGGCAAAAGATTTAAATCGCGTCGCGTGTTTCACGCTACCGCCCCCACCTGCTGCGAAATCTCGTCGTCCTCCTGGCTCCAGTCGGGGTCGTTGTCGTCGCACAACCCCCCGCACATACTGAAGGCCGACAAAGACGTGGTGTCGCCGCCCCCGAGGTTCTCCTCGGACTTGGTGTGCCGCAGCGTCGGCATGATCTTCGAGGTTACGATCGACGTGTGCAAATCGTCGATTTCCACCACCTCGACGTAGACGATGTACGGCGCTTTGTCCTTGGAGTTGAGCACGGCGCCGACTTGGGGCGGTATCCTGACGATGTGGTGCGGCCGCGTGGACAGCGGCAGCCACACGCGCGCCGGCAAGTTGAGGTTGAGGTTTGTCAACTCGGCCACCAGGCGCGTCGTCTTCGACTCCTTCGTGGGGATGGAGGAGAGCAGCTTGCCGATGGAGATGAGGGCTTTCATGAACTCCAGCTCGGGGGCAAGACGGGGCGCCTGAAAATACAAACAAAATGTCAATATTTCAAACACGATTTGCATAATCCCACCAATCAAAAACGACTTAAACCGTAATCGGTTCGTTCGTAAACCCAATTGATTAATTGCCAGTTGGCTAAATCTCGAAATTTATCCCACCGACTGCGCCACTTTCGGAAACACGAAATCCGGCTTACCGAACACGTGCATTCAGTCTTTTTTCCTCGGAGGTCGTTGACCACGCCTCGGCAGCTCTCGAAGCACGTGCAGCCGTTGTCGAAGGCCCTCCCCGAGGTGAGATCTCCGAGGCAAAGTCGGTTGTTGCCGGCCGAAGACGACCTCCTCATCCCTACGATCAGAGCTGAGGCGTCACTCTGCGACCTCTGGTGAGACTTTTTCGCGGGAACGGTGAGTTTGTCGTTGAGGGTGATCGTCGGAGTCCTTTGGTCTTTCGGCCGCAGCTCGTCGGAGAGGATGAGGTTGCGGAGTTTGATGCCGAGGGGTTTCTTCTTCGACGGCAACGACGCGTCCGAACTGTAGGCGTCCAGCAGCCAGGCACATTTTAGGGAGAAATCTATCGACTGTCTACACCTGGAAAAAAAGGGAGTGTTAGAACGATAGCTACTCCTTACGGAAATAAATTCCAAACTATTTAAGAAAAAAAAAATGGTCGAAGGTTAAGTATTTAGACAAAAAGATCGAGAAATCGAAACATCAAAAACCCAAAATTTCAAAATTAGAAAAATCGAAAATTTGAAGCATTGAATAATCGAGAAATCGAAAAATCGAAAATTTTAAAAATTGAAAAATTAAAATACTGAAAAATAGAGAAACAGAAACATCAAATTGAAAGATCTAAAATTTAAAACTCCAAAAAGTAAAAAATCGAGAAATCGAAAAATTGAAAAATCGAAATATTGCAAAATCTCAACACTCAAGAATTAAGAAATTGAAAAATCGAAGAGAACTTTAAGAATCGAAACCTGAAAAATCACAAAACTGAAATATCCAAAAACTGAAAGTTTGGGAAATCGAAAATTTGAAAAGTCGAAAAACAGAAGTCAAAAAATTGAAGAAGTGAAAAATGGAAAAATCAAAGAGCGGAAAAATGAAGAAATCGAGAAATCGAAAAATTTTCAACACTGAAATGTCGAAAATTTGGGTAATCAAGAAATTGAAAAATCGAAAAATTGAAGAAGAAAGAAATTTCAAAACTGAAAGATCGAAAATTCGAAAAATCTAAAAATCGAAAAATTAAAAATGAAAGAACTACCAAAATGTCAAGAAATCAAAACATCAAGAAATCGTAAAATCTAAAAATTCGAATATTAAAAAATGTTAAATTTAAAAAATCGAAAAATCTAGAATTTAAAAAATTAAATCGATTCGATAATTTTAAAAAATAGAAAAATTCAAAAGTTGAAAAATTAAAAAATTTCAGAATCGAAAAACTAAAAATTGAGAAAGTGAAAAATTATAAAACTGAGATGACGAAAAATTGTGAAATTGAAGAATGGAAAAACCGAAAAATTGAAAAACCAAAAAGTCGAAAAATCGAAATATGTATCGAAATATTTAAAAATTAAAACATTGAGAAATCGAAACATTAAAAGATCGAGAAAGGGAAAAGCAAAGTCGAAAAATCGGAAAACTGAGCAAACAAAATAGACCAAAATCGAAAATTGAATAGTTAAAAACTGAAAAATTTTATATTAAAACATTCTAGAAAAACAGAAATCGAAAAATCGAGAAATAGAACAATAAAAAATTGAAACATTGAAAACTCGAAAATCTAGAAGTTGAAAAATTGAAAAATCGAAATATGTATTTAAAAACCAAAAAATCAAAAAATCTAAAATTTTAAAAATTGGGAAATTGAAAAATAGAAAAATTTAAGAATAAAAAAAAAAACTGGAAAATCCCAAAACTGAACGAGTAAAAAACCGAGAAATCAAAATTTTAGAAATCGAGAAATTACAAATCGAAAAATTATCAAACTGTCAAGAAACATAAAAAAATCGTAAAATCGAAAAATTCATATCCTGAAAAATATTAAATTTAAAAAATCGAAAACTTGAAAAATCAAAAATTAAAAAATTGTAAAATTAAAATGTCGAAAAATTTAGAATTTAAAAAATTAAAGCAATTCGAAAAAAAATGGAAAATTGAAAAGCAAAGTACCGAAAATCTAGAATTTTAAAAATCTCAAAATCTGAAAAATCGGAAAATTGAATTGAAGATCTAAAAATCGAGAAATAAAAAAAATCGAAAACTGAGATGACGAAAAATTGGGAAATTGGAAAACTGAAAAGTTGAAAAATCGAAATTTGTATCGAAATATTCAAAAACTAAAACACTGAAAAATCGAAATATTAAAAGATCGAGAAATGGAAAAGCTAAGAATTCGTAAAATCGGAAATTTGAGAAATCGAAAAAGACCAAAATCGAACTAAATAATCGATAAATCGAAAAACTGAAAAATTGAGAAATTGAACAATAAAAAAATCGAAGCATTGAAATCTCGAAAAGTCGAAAAGTAGAAAAACTGAAAAACCGAAAAATTAAAAAACCGGAAAATCTAAAACCGAGAAGTCGAAAAACCGAAAGATCGAGAAATTGAAACATCAAAAAACTGAAAAATCGAAAATACAAGATTTTTAAAATTTCAAAATCTGAAAAATTCGAAACATCGAAAAATTGAAAAGCTAAAAAGTAAAAAAATCGAGAAACAGAAATATGTATCGAAAGGCTAAGAAATCAAAAAATCGAAGAGTTAAAAATTGAAAAATTTAAAACTAAGAAAATCGATAAATCTTACAACTGAAAAATTGAAATACATATTTAAAAACCGAAAAATTGAAACATCGAAAAATCAAAAATTTTAAAAATTGAAAAATTAGAATATCGAAAAATTGAATAATGGAGAAATCGAAACATCAAAACATCAAAAATCGAAAAAAACTGTCAAAACTGAGATTTTCATAATGAAAAAATGAAGAAAAATTTAAAAATCCCAAATTGAAACATCAACATCAAAAACCTAGAAATCGAAAAATTGAAGAAATGGAAAAACTGAAAAACCGAAACATTGAAAAGTGGAGAAATCGAGAAATTAAGAAATCGAAAACTTAGAAACGTCAAAAATTTTAAAATTCCAAAACTGAAAATCGAAAAATTGAGAAATCAAAAGTTGAAGTCGAGAAATCAAAAGTTGAAGTCGAGAAATCGAAAAATTTAGGTTTTTATTCGATTACGTCCTTAGCGCTTACGCTCAGGTAGTAAAAATATAACAATATAATTGAGCCGGACCTGCATTCACCAGAAAGAAACTTTGATTTATGGCGGCACCCCACAAAAGAGATTACCTACTATTCCCCCATTACCGATTTTAGTGGTGCCATATAATCTTCCGGACTTTGTAAAACTCTACAATCGTAGATAAAGTCGATAATTGTGTGTCAGGTGCACAATACCTGCGATAACACCAATAAATTGCGTCTTTATATAAAACGACACTTTTACGATAACTAGCGGCTATCAGTCGCCATACATTTTTTTCAATAGGTGCATTGACGCGTCAAACATTCCTGATAAATATCTCGGCTTTGTCATTAGCATCTCATTACAATTTTTTCCCGTTTACGTCAACAATAACGCGAATAATATCCCTACTGTTTAAGAATAAAAAGAATGCAACGTTTCATTTCAAAGAATGGCGACAGCGAAATGTAAACCCAGATAAGATATCTTCCATTTCACACAACGGTTTATTGTCGCCAGTAATAAATCTAGAACGCAAACAATTCATCAATTAGCATCCTATTACCACCGACGTTAAAAACGTCGCACTTTCCAGCGTCAAGATCCTGATAACTCGACCCGAAATAAGATCGAGGACTCGATTATGTCGCGTTCGTGCGACGCGCATGAGACGTGTCAAGAACCTCCGCCAAATTACCCCGAGCACTTTTCCTTTCATCGATTAAAGCAAAACTGGAACGTTTTAGGAAAATTAACTCTTACATCGAGCATAAAAGCCCGAGTTGATAAATCATTTTTGGCGAATGCGGCGCTACATAATAAAAGAACTAGGTCACGACAGTTTGGACACAATCTAATGAAAAGAAGGAAAATCATAAATTTCTTGGTGGGTTTCATCGAATCGTTGAACCTTCCTTCCTTCTTTCATCCTTCGGCGATCTTTTACTTCCTGCGATAATTAGGTGGAGTTGGAACGTTTTATTTTATCGATAGTTGAGTCACGGCGAGGTGACGAACGCACTGAATCAGGATCATTATGTTTCAAAAGCCAAATTTAATAACCGCGACGTCGTTCGCCTACCGGAAAAAAGAATCAGGTGTGAGTGGGCACCCTTGTCCAACTCCCAAAATTCATAATTAATTCCATTCGTTTTGAAATATAAGCGGCGAAATTTAATCTGTTTGCGTTAATGTGTAGCAGTTCCTTTCAGGTTTTTTCTTTACAAACAAGATGAAATGCGGTTTCAGGGAACCGCCTTGTAAACATAATATCCATTTCTAACATGCAAATACGCGTCCGGCTGCATCATATCCAAGAAGTCAATATTTACTTCGGCATGAAATCTATTTTCGAGGCACGAAGTGAGAGCTTATTTTCTCGTCGACAAAGAGCGTGGAAAAGAGTGATTTCGTGATAATGGATTCGTATGGTAGAGTGTGATTTTCGACCTTTGAATAAGGCTAGTAGGTTCTGCGGAAGCGTTAGATTAAGGTGGTTTCGAAGAAAAATTGTTTTGGCTGAAATTAGAGAAAAAAGGGAACGCTAATAATAATTGGGGGGGGGGGGGTGTGATGGAAAATGTACTGAATCAGAGTTGGCTTTATAATGAGACAATAAATAAAGAACAAATTTTGTTATTTTTTAACGCTTGAGTAAAGTATTTGTTCTTAATTTAAGTCAATCAACTAATTTTTGCCGAATGTAACTTGAGTTTTTTGCATTTTTGGATAATTTTGAACTTTTTTGAGTTTGTTTTGTAGCAGAATTTAAATAGGCTCATAAATTTTCAAAAATCAGACGAATATATACGTTCCGATTAAGTGTTTTGAACTTTTGAAATAAACTATATTTTAATATCCAGTTTTTATTGTTTTCAATTAATGGAAATTTTTGATTTCAGAATATTTTTGGAAAATTTTTTACCACTTTTTATTGACACAACAAATTTAATTTTTGATAATACATACTAGTATTTCCAGGCTGTGAAAAGTAATTTTCTTTTAATTTACTAGAATTTTAAATAAAAAAAAATTCAAAAGTTTCCCTAGAAGTTTAAAATTATGGCAAAATTTTCAATAAATAAATAAAACTAACTTCTCTTTTACAAAGTTTGATTTGAAATGTTTGCAAAATTTTGCATTTCTTGAAAACTTTTATTTTTAATTTATTGAGTTCCATTAAAAAAAACTAAAATCTAAAAATCCTCGTTTATATTTCAGAAAATTTTGTAGTCCTTTAAAATCATTGAGTTATTTCTAACTTATCCTCACAATAATAATACTCGTAGGATGATCTTCAAATCGTTTAAAAACTTCCGAAAATGTTCGAC